CCTTCGCGCAGGTATGCGCTGGAGGTGGGGGTCGGGAGGGGCGGGGGGGCCCGGACTGCAACACCTGGGAGAACCTCACCCCCAGCCCCGTGTGCATATGAGGAAATGGGCCTGGGGAGGTGACTTGCCCGCATCGTGGACGTTGCGGTGCGGGAGCGAGAGGGAAGCTGGGCCCCTGGCTTCGGCCTCCGCGGCGCTCGGTGGACAGAGGCCGGGGGCCCTGGGTTTGCGTCTTGCCCGGGACAGCTTCCCCCCACCCCCCTCGCGGAGCCTCCTTTGCTCCCGCCTGCTCTGCAGATGCGCACCCAGGACAGGCTCGGTGGAGCTTGTCGGGACCTTGGTCCGTGTGAAAGGAAAGGGCATCACTGACTCAACACCTTCCGTGAAGAGTTTGTGCAACTCAAGTGCAAAATGAGCAGAAATTGTCAGCATATTAGCTGGCAAGTCATGCTGCCATGTAGGGTTATGGGTTGAATTGGGGGGCGTGGCATTTCTGCGTCCAAATCTATGACAGTCCAGGCAAAATAGCAAAAGCAGAGCCCGGCAAAGGCAGCCCTCTTCCCCCCCCCACCCCCCGTAATATTAGTCCAGAGCATATAACATCGAGTCCCTTCTGACTGCTGGGCTGGCTCCCAGACCCTTGACATTCAGGGCCCAACACACCGCTGGTCATAAAATTGGTGTTATCTCCCCCATGTGATGGACAAGGAAACCGAGACCCGGAAATGATGCTTTCCCCAAGGCCACCTACTCTGGGTCACACAGATTTGTCCAACACCCACGCCCGGGCCCTGGCCCGTTTATCAGCAGGGGCTGAGCTGTGGGTTCAACCCACCTCCGCTAACAGCGTGAAGGAACATCACTGGCCAAGACCAGAAGGACCGAATAGGTGTGGGAGGCTCAAAATGGAGTCGCGGAGGTGACAGCGCCAGAGCGAGCCCTCGCCCGGCAGCAGGTCGGAGGGGGTGGGCCATGGGGCTCAGCGGCTGGACTGGTTCTCCTTCCCTCCGCCAGGTGGGCAGCACGCCTGAAGGCCAGAGCCGTGACCTCTGCCTCTCCCCCAGCGGGGCCAGTGACATCGCAAGGACGACGTGGGGGCTTGGGCGTGCTCGGGGGAGCCTTCCCGGGGACATGGAGCTTTGGGGTGGGATGCTGTGGGCCCTCCTGTCTGGCCCCGGAAGGCGGGGAGGCACTCGGGGCCGGGCCTTCAGTTCCTGGCGACCCCACCGGCCTCAGGCTGGGTTGAGTGCCACAGAGCTGGTCAGCCAGTGGACGGCGGTCTTTGAGAAGAGGGGCATCCCCGAGGCCCGGGAATCCAGTGAGTACATCGTGGCTCATGTCCTTGGAGCCCAAACAGTTAAGTGCAGTGATGTCCAGTGGGGGGGCCAGAGCACCTTGGGGAGAAGGGGGTTGGGGGGAGGGGGACCTGGGGGAAGGGACTTCCAGGCTTCTTTGCCCCACTGAGGGTGCTGATCTGAGGGTGACACTATTTTTTTGGAGGAATGCCTTAGGCGGATACTTACTCTTCCATCCAACAAACTCTTATGATGTGTGCCAGGCTCGGTGGCCAGGGTGGGGCCCATATGCGTTGTCCACATAAGGAACCTGGGCCAGGGCCTCTGGACCAGGGGAGCCAGCCACTCACATTCTCTGTGGGACAGTTTCAGAGCCTGAGGCCGGGACTTCGGTCGAAGCCCCTGACCCCCTGGCAGCTACAGTGCGTCCAGGAGCTGAGTAGCCGCAGACTGCAAAGGTGAGCACCCGTGGGCTGGCCCCAAGGGCTCCGTGAGGGGCGGGGCTTCCGCTCCCCCCAGCCCCAAGTTCACGATCAGGGAAGAGGAGTGTCCAAGGGCTAGGGAGGTGTTTGGGATGAGGGAGTGATGAGAGGGGGGTCAGAGTAATAAACAGGAAGAAGGTAGGGAGGGAAGGCCTTGGCTAGGGTCCCGGGGCCCAGGAGACGTGACCCTACCTTACACTTTCGGCCGCAAGTGTGACGTATCCCTGACCCCAGGCGTGTCCTCCTGGCCCAGGTCTGCACTCTAACCCCCCGCCCCTCTGCAGGATGCCTGTGCAGTACATCCTTGGCGAGTGGGACTTTTGCGGCCTCAATCTGAAGATGGCACCCCCAGTGTTCATCCCTCGGCCTGAGACGGAGGTAGGTGCGCCCTGGGGAGGAGTGTGGGGTTCAGAACACTTGTCTTGCCCCAGACTTCCTCCAGAGGGCGCCGGGACCCCATGGCTGCTATCCTTCCAGGCAAGCCGCTGTGTCCTGGCTGGTTGGGTAGATGGGGCCCAGAGGACAGAAGTCTCCGGCTGGCTTCCTGGACTGTCCTTTTATCCCAAGCCATCGCCCCTGCCACCAGGGCTTGCGGTGGCTCCGGGAACCGCAACTGGTGCTGTTTACCAAGTGCCTCGCCTATGCCTGTCGTTCCCCTGGGAGTCGTCCCTCGGGCCAGTGGCCTGCCCAACCCATAGAACCTATAGGAAACGGATGTCCTCTTTCTCGGGAGGCGGAGACAAAGCGGGGAGGGCTCTCGCTGGGGACCTGGGGGCCTGGTACAGCCGTGTGACCCCAGCAGGTCACTGCCCCCTCTGGGCCCAGACGATGAGCGGGTTGGGTCTCCAGACGAGGGTCCTTTTAGATCTACCATCTGGTGAAGCGATCACCTCTGTCCCTCAAGTCGGTAGGACTGGGGAGGTGGCCCCAGCAGGGTCGCTTGGCCGGGCACCCCGATCCGGGATGTTCCTGTGACTCTTCTTGGGCTTCCCTCTGTCCTCATAGGTGGCAGAGCTGGAACCAGGGAAGAGGAGGGGCTGGGGCTGGGGGGGGGCGCAGTGGGGGAAGCCAGAGGGTGCCAAGTTCTGAGAAGGGGGTGTTTCTAGAAACACAAACATTCCTGGGAAAGACCAGGCCTTATCTGCCTGCCCAGCTGGGGACCCACCTCACTGCCCAGTGTTAAGGGGGGACAGTAGGAACCTCAGACCTTTCTGAAGTCACAGGGCTGCTGAGGGCTGGCACGGTTGGGGGGTGGGAAGAAGCGGGCAGCATGGGGCAGCACTCAGACACCCTGACTCCCAGTCAGGGCCCCATAAATCCCATGGGCCTGTCCCACATGGGGCTGGCTGAGCCGGGAAGGGGAGCTGAGACAGAGTAGGATGTGGTCTGCCACCTGCAGGCTTTTGGGAGGCCCTGTGGCTCCCCCAAGCATGTGACCTCTAGCCAGGAGGTCACTCAGGGTTCCCTGAAGCTGCCAAGGGTCAGGGTCTGGGAGGGAAGCTACCGTGGTGACCTCTGAGTCCCCTTAGGCTTGACCTGGCCCCAGTCATGTCCTCCCAGGTCTGAGTGTAGACTTCCGGCTCCACTGTGGCCCCCTTTCCTGGCTGGGTCTGGGCTGTGTGTGTGGGGGGGGGGGGGGGGGGGGGGGCTGTGGTTGGGAGCCCAAGTCCTCGCCTCACTGTACAGACATTTCTCAGAACTTGCCCGGTTTACCCCAGTGTGAAGCCACACCGGGGGGGGCCTTACCAGGAACTGGAGAGGACGTGGCCTGTGGCGGGCAGTGGGAGCGCGGGTACATGCGAGGGATCATGGTGCCTGCTTTCTCTCGCCCAGGAGGGTGGTTTCTGATAACGGGGCCAGAAGTCTGATGCCAAGTGGTAGGCGTGTGGCCTGGCGGGTCAGGTTTCCCCTGGGGTGGGAGGCGGCTCGGGCCCGGCCTGCGGGGTGTACGGTGAGATGCCCAGGCGGAGGGGGAGCCGTTCCCGCCGGCCTGGGCGTGAGGCTCTGCGGGGTGCAGGAGGCTCAGGGCCTTTCTGTGATGGGCTGGAGGGAGGCCATGCACCGTCCTGGGACGCCCCACAGGGACACCCCACAGGGACACCCCACAGGGACGAGATCTTGGCAGGGGTGCTCGTGGCACCAGGTCCTGCTGAGCCTGGGCCAGCCTCTTGAGGGGGTGGGGTCCTGAGGAGGCAGTGGCTCCAGGCAGAGCCGACCGCTGCCTGCTCCCCGTCTCCCTCCTGCGTGCCCCTCTGCCCGCACCCCACTCTGTCCTCGTTCACCTGGGGAAGGCGCCTGGGCCTGTGACCGGCTTGGCTCGCAGCCTCCCCCGGGGGCCTCCTTCACGCTGAGGGAGGCCCTTCACGGGGTCAGGAAGGGAGTGTCGGGGCTCCTTGGGTGTGGTCTCCCCTCTCCCCCCCTACCCCCCTCCCCCCAGTGGTTCCACAGCCGAAGGACCCTCCTGTGGTCTGTGTGTGAGAGAGAGGCAGCGGGCACAGTCCCAGCCTCACAGCCTGCCCGGGCGGCCATTCACATTGTGGCTCGTGTCTCTGAGGTTGGGGTGTCTGTGAAGTGGTGGCCAGTGTGGTCGGCTGAGGGGTCATTCTCCAGCCAGAGCAGGTCTGTCTGCGGCCAGGAAACCAAGAGAGCCTCCCACCTGACAGCCTCGGCCTCCCACCAGCCGCT